TTTTTTGTATTTCGTTTTAATGTTCTAGCTAGCAATAATTTGAGTTCTACCCTCGTTTTAATGTCGGTACTCAGTAGTTTCAGTTTATTCTAGTACTTGCTTTCTTTCTGGTTTGCAGACAGGAGTTGCCCTTATTCGAGATTACCCAGAAATTATGTTTCATTCAAACCTGTATCTTCGAATTCCAGCAGAAGACAACATGTATTGCTGAACAAAAACAAGGGGCTTCCGTTAATCGATAGCTATGCAAGAAACTCGGGTAAAGTTCGGGCTGCATCGACAGAGTCCATAAATTACGAACAATATATAGACTCATCTGGAGGCGGTGACCAAGCATTTGAAGTGAATGGCTTTGGAAATTCAGATATTTTAGAACTGAAATCGAATGCATACAGGAGTAGGTTTCTTAATATTGTAAAAATTAGCTCCATCATTAATGATAAAGCTGAATCTTTTTTCAAGAGTGAGATAAGGAGGAGGCTGTTTGTGACCGCTGTCTTGTTAGTTATTAGTCGTCTGGGCTATTTTATTCCTTTACCTGGATTTGATCGGAGACTAATGCCCGAAAATTATCTCGGGTTCATATCGGGATCTACTGGTGAGCAATATTATCCTTTCATTTTTCCATCATTTTTTTTAATGTTTTGAAGTTCAAATTATCAGTTGTAGTTGAAGCAATTGGGATCTTTTACATGGTTTTGTTACCATGGAGTTTGGTTTGAAATGTATTGTGTTTTTTCAAGAAGTTGATGATATATTGATTGATTAGTGTGTATGCATGGACTTGCAGATGAGCTTGGTGATTTTGCCCCTGAACTTAAGCTATCTTTGTTTCAGCTTGGCATTGGTCCTCAAATAGGAGCTTCGATTATTATGCAGGTTTCAATCCATCTGATATGTTGATACATTATTACTTTAAGAACATCTGATGAGATTTTATTGAATAGCGGCCTTCTGTGATGTATAGAAAGTCTCTTTGTACCTGAAAAGTTGTATCCTTTTAGTTTGTCGAACAAGGCCAAACTTAGATTTTACAGTATCCATTTTTTTATACATGGAGGGGCAGTTAGACTCTTCATTTGTTCCCCATACCCTTCTATCACCAGCAACTTTGTTTTAGTTAGAGAAAATAATATATTTCATGGTTTACTGTGTTTGCCGGATCCTCAATCCTTTATCTATACAGCAATAAGTAGCTTCCCATTGATATATTGATTGATTTACATGGAAACAAGGAAAAGACATTGGTCGTATGATATTATCCCTTGAAAAGGATTTGGGCAAATATATTATCTTGAATTGTCTGCATGAATTAATCTTGCTGTTGATAATATTAGTAGAGATTATGTTCAGGTGCTTTGCCACGTCATCCCTTCCTTAGTGAAGCTGCGGAAAGAAGGTTTAGATGGTCATGAGAAGATCAAGAGTTATATGTGTGTCTAGTTATTCATCTCAAGCAGTGAGACGAGCCCTTGTGACATTATTATTATTATTATTATTATTATTATTATTATTATTATTATTGTTGTTGTTGTTGTTATTATTATTATTATTATTATTATTATTATTATTATTAATAATGCTCTCTGGGAAATTCAGATGGTGGATCTCTCTGGGAATTGCTGTGGTGGAGGGTTTAGTTATCTCTTCATATTCACTCCCTTATTCTATTTATGCCGCTAGTCATAGGTAATCATGGCAAGCACACTGATTTGATATTTCTGTCTTTTGTTAATAATACCGGTTTTTGTCGCGAATTTATTTCTGTTGTTCTTATGAATTAGAGAAAATGTGTTTCATTCTGACTAGACAGTTAGCTGTTTAGAGGCTTATAATTGAGTTCTTTTTATATCTGGAAGGAGGTTAGTTTTGTGTTCGAGTAATGGGGGCCACAAATATGCAGGGTAAAACATGTTATGATTACAGCTTCGCTTCTGGTTTGTGGTGCAATGGGTATGAATTGGATTTGTGAACAAATAACAGAGTCTGGATTTGGTAAACTGCTTATTCATGGTCTTATATTTATTTCTGCATCTTGCAATTGATGGCATTTGCCAATGCTTCTTATTTTTATAACAAAAAGAATAATAAATATCTAGTTAGAAATATCTAAATTGTTATTTTTTATCTAAATGTGTGCAGGTCAAGGGTCATCTTTAATTATATGTGTCAGCATTTTGACTGGCTACACCGAAACATTGCATAAGATGTTAACTCAGCTCTCAGGTGAGTCGGAAGATCACAATCACAGTTGACATAAATTTTTATTGCTCACTTTGCAACTCATTGATTTTGCTTTCTCCTTGTCTAGGAATATTGTTGGGGAACACTTGCATATCAATAATCCTTCTACTAAACTAACCGTTATTGACAAATCTGTTAATATTCATCAAAAAGACTAATGTATTAAGTAGAACATCCAATTTTGCATTGTGCTGGAAACAATTAGGCAAAAATATTTACTCTCCGTAGAATGTTGTCACAAAGTCCCTTGCTTATAAAATTATTTTGTATAATTCTGAATTTTTTTTCCACTTTCGGCATACAGTTGTTTGCCTTTTTTCCCCTCCCAATTGCCGAAAATCAACAAATCATAATTTCAAGAAAAAAATTCAATGTCAACATTTCACTTTTATATTACAAATACAGTTTTCACTCACTCTCTTTTTGAGCACCAATCTCAAGAATCATTATTTTACATTTTCATTTACATATTTCAGATATTAATATATGAATGTTCGCTCACACTTGCATTTCAAGCGCCAATCTTATTGAATCACTATTTTTCATTTTCATATATATATATATATATATATA